AACCTGTCGACAGATTCATTTTTGTAAATAACCAATTCGGTTTCTGTCGTAAAAACAACGGTAAACATTGCCTTATTTTGGGGTCAATTTTGAGCCTTGAAAGTTGTTATCGATATTTTTATCGTTTTTGCTATCGATATTATAATCGACTTTGTTACCGATATTTTTATCGATTTTGTTGTCGATATTTTTATCGATATTTTTATTGGTTTTGTTACCAATATTTTTATCGATTTTTCTATTGATATTGTTATCAATAACCATACCACGTATTCTACGTTTAAATATAGCGGCTGTATCTCCGATACAGCCTGCCGACCAAGACGAAGGCGCTGGACTGTTCCTTTTTTTTTTAGTCAAAACTGCACTACTGTACATAACTTGACTATGATTACTCGGCCGGGCTATCATAGGAGTACAATGCCACTAAGCGCATTTTAAAATGTTCAGGCAATAGCCTGCGATTATCGATTTAATTTTTTGTTGTTTGTGCGAAATATTTTATTTTTATTAGTATTTTTCAATTAATCAAAATATGTTGAAATTGAAGTGAAAAAAATAAATAAAAAAATTGCCAGAACATTAACACGAACAAATCCCGGGATTTTCGGGACGTCAAAAACACCGGGATTGGTATCCCTAATACACACTTGGATACACTTGTACCATATATGATGCTAAAATACATTTGCTCCATATTTGCTTGAAATTAGTTTACTTTAATCTCATTGCAACCGTACTCGTTAGACTCGCACACATTCAAACTCACTTTGATAAATACATATGAATATTTATCTGTATAAGTCTATTGGGATGTACTAGTTAAGCCATTTTAAAATCGCTTACAATAAAAGAGGTAATCAATTCGTTCGGCCCTGGAAGCCCTGCTTCATTTTCTACCTGTTGATCTATAAGGTAAACTAAAGGCTAGTTGTAATGCTATCAGAATAAACGAGCATAAAGTAAGCGAATGTTTTTTTTCGAAAATGCAGAAATACTTCTAGAGCATCTAGATGCCTTTCTGGAACAGAAATAAAATTTTGAAAAAAAAACATTCACTTACCTACCTCATTTTGGCGGTTAGGGCTCGATGTATGGATAGCAGAAGTTTTTCTTTTAAACCATAATCAATTTAAAAGAAGTTGCTACATAATTTCCATTTTCAATGCGCTCACATTATTAATTGAAGAGGGTATTTCTACTACGCTCTTAGATTCTATTAGCAGCACAACGTGGAATTCGCTTCTTCGCGTTACCGATGGCGCTTTTGTCTACAACATTTTTTCATTTCATTCACCATTCGAGAAAATTTACCCATCACTACATAAATGTTCAAGTTGTATGGCTAATAGCTTTTATGTTCGAGCATAGCTTCTACTTAGTACACATACATATATGAACGTAAATACATACACGTATGTACGTACATATGTACATATGTAGGTATGAATATATGTATGCGCTTAGATAAGAGTTTATGCCTTTAACTTACTGCCATAGAACATAAGTGCCGGTATGTATATACATACAGAGCTTGCGTGTGTGTGAAGTCGTATATGGTGATGAAAATTGAAATTAGTTAAACGAATGTGGGTGTTAACGCTGCACGATGCCAACATTTACTCGCTTAACTGTGCTCACACATATGTTACGCTGGCTGCAAGCGAGCACCGGAAAGTTTATGGTCTCGCAAATGGGTAAAAATCAGGCAGCAGGCGGACATAAATGACTCAAAATTACTGTGGCGACGTAGGCTGACTAGAGCACAGCAGATGATAATAATTTGCCAAACCATTTCACATTTCTTTAATTTAAATGTTTTGCTGCAGGAGTTTGGATACTTTAAGTTATGCTTTTAAGGATGTGTGGCACATTGTTTATAGAAAATTACTGGGCGATTTAAGGAAGGGATTTTTCAAATTTTGCTTACTTGGTTATAAAACAGAAGTATTGAGGGGGCGGATTGCTGCGTAATCCAATAAAAGATGACGTGGGGCTTTTTAAATCGCAAATTCTTTATTAAATTTTGTTAATATTTGATGTCGTTTGCAATACAGTTGCAAAAAAAGAAATAGATTCTTTAGTATTGTCTTAGAAACCAAATCACTAACTGAAATTATAGCATATGTGAAATCTTCACAAAGTTCAAGAAGAAAAAATGTGATTTTGAATTCGGTCAGTATATCGATGGCTGAGTGGAAGATCGACCTATCCCAGCAGCCTTTTCAAGAACGCCCTATTTCAGAATTTCATTGAAAAACATCCTATTTCAGAATTTGGTTCAAAAATGCCCTATAATAAACGAAAATACATTAAAATGTGCTGGATAGCGAATTCTGAGATAGGG